CAATGTGCCACGACAATGCAGTTACATAAATATGTGAAAATGAACTGAATGCATGACCACAAATCCCCATTTCAAGCCTCTTCACAAAGCCTGACTGAGTTTTCAAGCTGCTGTTCAGAAAAAACTCAAATACAGGTTTAGGGGCCCAGCACAACTGAGCTCAGTGCTCATCAGTCCTTTAATGTAGACCAAAGGTCTTTGTGGTTCAAAATCATCTACACCAATGCTAAGCAATGCACTCATTGCTTTTGCTGACTTTCAGTAAACCAGTAGGATACCAGGCTGTCACGATCAGAACATCTGCTTCATTGGAAAAGTATTTCAGCAGCCTTTGTCTTGTAATAAATGATGTGATCCTGGAAGGCCGACAGCAGCGCAGGAGTGCAGGCAAACAGCTCACCAAAGGTCAAAGCCACCCAATGCTTCTGGATCAGCAGCACCATTTCTGTCCACCCCACCCTACCCAGAGTCTTAGAGCTGCAATGAATAAGTGAAAAAGTACATCACTGATAATATATTTTCTACCAGTGAAGAACATGAGAAGGGAAGAAAGGAGAGAAAAGCAGAGGAGAAGGGAATCCAGCTGTGAAGATATTTACTCTCCCACCGAAAACAGAGTGATTCCCAGAAGTGCCGCTTAGTTTGCCTCAGTCAGAATGAACTTGGGTAGCAAAATGTGAGATATAAACTATTTCAGTTATGAAATAGGCTACAGAGTGCTTACACAAACAGCTTCACTAGCACACAGATACCTGTCCATCTTAATTTATAGCCTTTCCAAGAACAGTCCCTTAGCATCTGACTTTTTTTTTAAGGAGTTACTCATTTTCTTTCATCTTTTAGACTCTGTATTCTCCTAAAACACAACCCTCCACTGCTTCTGTAATCTCTTTTTTTCCCATCTACAATGCAATGTCAAGAAAACCCCAATGCCATAAAACAGTGCAAACATTTCAATTTTACCAACAGTGTAAATAAACAGCATCAAAAAGATTTTGGATCCTGTTTGTCTACCTGTGGCATTAGTAGTCAGTGGATGCTCTGCTGCTACAGTTAGAGAAAGGTCTTGTTCCTGTTGTTATTGTTATTGCCTTTTAAAGTGAAATGATAGTAGCACTCTGTTGAATGGTAGCATTTTACAGCAATTTAACTTCCTGCCTAAAGAAGCAAATCTGCATGAGAATTACCTGGAAAGCACGATCACATACACACAGTGTTTATATATATGTATGCACATATATGCTGGCATTTTCAGAACAGGTATGTCATACATCATATCAAAGGCCATAGGGATGAAGCATAAATTAGTTGGCAAGATTATTTTCTAAACTAATTTCCTAGAAAAGGAACCATTTCCTAAAAAATCCTACCATTACTCTCCAACCTATTCTTTGATGAAAAGTGCAGCTGATTTCTACCTTCATTCTTATTTACCTTCCATGAAAGCACCACTGAGGACCTAATGAAGAATGCTGGGTAATTCTGGCATTATTGGATTTTTGGTTATTTATTTATTAGACATGAGAGCTGTTATCAGCAAGCAGCCAGGTGAGTCAAATCAGATAAAGCATTATCTGATTCCTGTGCTGTAAATCAGATTTTAATAGAGAAAAGATCTGTATGCCTTTGGGATTGGAAAGAATATGTTTATAATGTGTTCTGAGTGTCTGCTACACAATAGCAAGTATGGATAAAAATATTTTCTCTAATCAATTTTCCACCTTCTTCTCCAAGTTCTTTCACACATGAGAACTAAAATAAATGAAAATTCTGTTTCTCACAAGTGCTACCAAATAACTAAGATAAGCATGCATAAAAGCATGCATACATGCTGCATTCTCAAACGGACATACAAAAAATACTGAATTCTGCAATATTAAAAGACATTGTAATTTCTCTGCTGGCAGAATAACTTACAGATTTCAGGTTTATCTAATTCAGCCATTGAAATGAGACCTTTGGTAGCCTACTCTTATCCTCTTAACCTCAATACACCTTCTATCCTAGGTATTTATCCTTGTCTTTGAATCTATAAAGTCTTAAGACAGCACCTGTAGACTGGACACAGATAATATTTGACTACCTGTTGAAGGTTTTACAAATTTTAATCAGCAGAGTAATCTAGATATGCTCAGACAGAAATTAATGTTAAACATAAAAAAACTTAATACAGAGCCAGCTCTTTCTTGTACTGCAGTCTTACTTGAATTTTAATTTGCTGGAAATTTTTGTTCGCAAAAATGAGGGCTCCCCTCTCACCTAATGCATCTGTGTTTGAACTAAAATCCTGTAATTAGTTTACTGTCTGGATACTTAAATATTCTGAGGACTCAAAAATTACTTTTAAAATCAAACATGCCAGGTCACATCCAATTAATTCCATAACAAACCGGAGGAATAGGCCTCTCATGTCATATTGGGCTTAACATTTCTTCTATGATTTACACATGAAAATGAATTTATAGCCAAACGTTTTTATTTACTGAGGTTTACGAAGGTGTGTGCTCAGAGTGCCATTAAAGAATGAATAGGGAAAGCTCTGCCACTGCCAGCCATCAGCAGCAAGGCTGACATCCACATCACACTTCACTATCTTCTTATTCCCTTTTCTTCCCAGGTGAGCCTTTGCTTCTCCATCAGAATTCACAGGAGGACTAATATTTTTAAAAATAACTGCAAAACTACAGGCAGCATAGAAGTCATTAACACAATGGAAGCTAATATCAAACTTAAGCTATCTGAATGTAGGTCCTACTTTCCAGTGAAAAAAACCCAGTCAAGTCTCTACTAACCATATGCTGTATTTGAGCTATTGGTTTCCCTTTCAGGAAATGTAGTTGCACTTTATTCTTTTTTTTAATCACTATCTGAACAATAACATTATTCCAAAGTTATTCTGTATTTGGATGAGTAAAGGTTAGCTCTAGTCAGTTGGGCAAGAGTTTGTCTCAGACAGATTGAATATCTACAAGGAAGACCAGATAATTTTTTGGTTTTATATATCTCTCTATACATACATCTCTGATCAAAATGGAGAAATAAATGAAGGAACTAGGACCTGTGAGAAACATGAATACTGAGTCTGAAAGCATAGCCTGTAATTGGACACACTGTACACATCACTAAGGAAAATACTGTAAAAGTCTGTTCTCTTTCCTCCTGGAGACAGTAACAAGGGTGGGGAGAAGCATAGATGATGGTATAGTGCTAACATGAAACAAGTAGGAAAGAGTTTTTTAAATACTTTTTTGTCCCCTCAAAAAAAGAAAAAAAAAAGATGAAATTAAGTGTAATAAAATTCCCCATAGGTCCACATTTAGTTACGTCTCTAAGAAACCTGAAGAAGTTTACTACAGCACAACTAGAATGACCAACATTGAAGAAACTGATATTTCAACCCAACCCTAGATAGGAAAAAACCTTTGCTGCCATTGCATATCCCCTCTGTGCCCTCTTTCAGCTGGCACAGCTAGACTAGCAATCCCTTTTTCCATAGCTTCAGCAGACCAGGCAATCATAATTTAGTACTAACAAAGCCACAAAGCCATGTCATTTGTGGGAGCAAACAGACCATCTTTAAAATTACCGTCTTTCTAATGAGCACCTTGTAAATCTGATGAAATTTTTGTCATTAAGCTCAAGAAATTTCTGATGTATCTGAAAAACAGCATTTTAAACTAATAGTAAAAACCACAAGAAAGGCTGCAGCCTCACAGCATCTACCACATTCTGATCCACACAGTAGCCTTTTGCAATATGACATAGGCTTCAGAGATGCTTCCTTCATTAACATGACGTTGGTTTGAGCTTTTTTCCCCTCACCATGGCAGGTAGAACATTTTCTGAGAAATTAGTGTCTCAGTGCAATGGGCCACAAAATTCGCTGCATAACAGGAGATGAGCAGATGCAGATTCAGAACCTTATTTGTCAATTGTACTTATAAGTACAAGTGAAAATATCTGACACTTTTTCAAATTAAAAGAATGTCCCTTATACAATATAGTCAGCTCTTCCAATCCAATTTTAAAGGACAAAAGCGTTGCTAGCCTGGCATCTCTTCATCTGGCAATTCTCTCACATCCCAAAATTAATGCCATATTGATATCTTTTATCATTATTGAGCTACCACCATCTTAATTGCACATGTTCAAGCTCTCAGTGGAGTAAGAAATTCCCTGGACTAGCAGGTGTTCTGCTGCCTGGCACAGTGGGTCAATCTCAGATTTTAGCCAGCAAAGGCACTGCATTGCAAACTGTGAGAACCGTATGCCGTTTCTACATGGGATGGGTCTAAAGCCTGGTCATGTCAGACTGTGAGACCAGAGCCTCTCAATTACTGCTTTCCTCCCTCTTAAGTTTTAATGAATCTTTATTGAAAATATCCCATTACTTTCCTCTGTAAATACATCCTGAATGACTCAGTACAGGAGGAAGGGGCAGGAGGATGAAGGTTGCTTCAATTTTTTTTTAATCATGAAACCTCCTTTTTTACAGATAAATGTCCCTGGTTCTAGATCAAATGCACCTTTTTTCCACTTTAAAATAAGAAAAAAGATGTATTAATTCAGAGTTGACAAACAGACAATATACATGAAGCAGTTCAGAAGTGAGGAAGCTTTAATAATCTGTATCACATTATTATTTGTCTGTTGTAACTTTATGGCTTATAAACAGAAGTTTAGACACTCGTGGCTTCTTCTCCCTGGAGGGTAATGTATCAAGATGGTAATGTATCATGACCTCAACAAATGTTCTATTTGAAGAGCACAATGACTCCCAAATGGAAAACATGTTTCTGCCTGTGATATCTCAGGTTTAAACGTATTTCTCTTCTTTTTTTGTAAAAGCCCCTTCATTTCTAAGAAAAAAAATGGCCTGGCAGAGATTCAATGCCAGGCTCCACCTTTAAACTTGTAAGGCCCTTCAGCACTGGTGATGCTGGTGTAAATGTATGGTTAGGACCACATCAAACCCACCATCCCAGAGGCATATGACTTACTGAGGTTCCACTTAAGGCCTGTCGTGGTCACGCTCTCGCAGGAGTTCCCAATGGGGATGAGGCCACACCAGGTGCCTTCCAGTCCTGTGTCCACACGCAGCTTGTGCTTGCCCTGCAAGACAGAAGGGCTTCTGGAGTCAATGCTTGCCAGGCACCCGAACCTGCTAACAGACCTTGCAAATAAAATAGAAAGTACTCAGATGGAGACAGGTCCAGAATGTCCCCCAAGAGCTGAGGAATATTTCATTGCAGCAGGAACTCAGGCCATTAATGTTTACAGAGGGTGGAGAGATGTGTGCTTAGGTTCCAGACCTCAGGGCTTTCTGGTTTGTTTCTAGGTTTTTCTAAGCAGAGTCTGGCTTTGTGCATTCTTTCCTATCATTTTTTGAATAGACACTTCTGTCAAAGCTAGGCTCTTTATTCCCATGAAATGAAGGCATCCTGATCCATTAATTCATTTTTTCCTCATCTAAACAGCTGTGTTTCACTTCCTAAACAATGCTAGTCAAAGTGCCACTGAAACTCCTTCATTATTTTGACAACATCTGTAAAATTTCATGTACTTCCCCAGGCATGTACTCTTCCCAGAAGGACAAATATGTGCAGAAACTCAACTAGGTGCTAGAGAAATTAGCCTAAATATTTAAAGTAACATGCTTACAATGAGAAAGAACAAAAACTGAAATTAAAGAAAATTTTTTGTACACCTAAGATAAATTTATCTTGTAACTCTACAGTTCATGGGATGCAGGAGAAACAACAGCTATTAATGATGATGGATTTGTGACAAAGCTCTTAATTAGCACTTATAGACCCTGTGTGAACATCTTGCCAGGTATCAGCATATGAACAGTTGCAAGGAAGAGTAGATAGAGGAAATCTTTCACAGAATGAAAAAAAAAAAGTGCTGAGTGTTATAGTTCTGGCACAGTATGTGTTCTGAGAAACTAAGGAGGTGTTTATGGAAACTAGCTACAAGAAAACAGCAAATGTCAAGTAGTGACAAGATCAGTGAAGAAACCATCTCTGGTCTCTTCTACACAGATAATTTATTCTTTCAAATAAACATGGGCTTCATCTGGGGGAACCTTAAGAATCTTTAATGGTTTATTTTATTTGCTTGTGGGTGCATGGGCAAGTCAAACTCCTTAGCATGTCTTTTACACAAATTCTTCATCACTATAAATAAAATCATATATGCCTATTTATAAATATACCAAAATAAAAGGACTCTCTGAAACCAAATGAGTATTCAGTGAGTAATTTGTTAAACAAGAAACCAAGGTTTTATACCAAGAGCAAGAAAAACACAGTTGAATCGTGAAAATCAAGTAAATGTCCCAAGCAGCAAAAAACACCGTCTCACAAATTTTCTAAGGAAAATGTATTTAAGCTTTTTTCTCATGCCTTGTCCTGTCATATGCTCATTTCACATGCTCTTGCAAATACAAAGTCACCAGTTAGAAAGTCAAAACTGGAGGCAAAATATCTTATTGCTGAGACATGATGTCTGAGGCGTTCAACAACTTCTCCCGTTAATGCCAAATGCATTATGAAGAAACAACTTCAATACATGTCATGCTCTCAGTTAACAAATGAACCTTGGAAAAGCTGTCAATTAGAGAGTATCAGATTGCATAGCTTAAGCCTATTTGATTGTTTGCAGAGCAACAAGAAAACCAATCCAATATCATCTGTCTTCTCAGGGTGTCCAGCTTCATGTGGTGATGAGCCATGTATATCCGTAGTGGTTTTGAATGCTTGCCTGCCAAATTCAGAGGTGTAACAAATTCAGGCTTGATAACCTTTTAGCTATGCAATATGCCATGCTACTTCTCTCTCACAGCACAGAGGGAAAGGGAGAAGTACAAGTACAAGCTCTCTTGTTATACGATTGCAAATATTGTCTGTAATGAAGCTGATAATGAAGAAGAGATGAAGGGGTGGGACTGTCTATTTCCAATGAATATTGCTGCTCAGAGCTACTCTAGGAGAGGAGCAAACTCACCATATTTATCTATTAGTAAGGGAATATGAAAAGCAGATGTAAAAGTAGCTGGCCCCACAGAGAACCTGATTAAGTTGTGTGTTCTCAAAATCTATGTTGAACTACTATGAGGTCTGCATTTCCTATTTCATGACATTCTCACCCAGCTTATAGATAAGGAAACAATTCAATGGAAATTTATGCAGAAAGTTGTCTTCTTATGCTCATGAAATAAATCTTTAAACAATACCAGAGGCTCACCAATATCTAGGATTTTATCAGGAGTCTTTCAGTGTCTAGTACCTCCCTAAAATTCCAGTTCAATGTTTCAGTGATTATGTGAGAACATTAACTTTCTTCCCTAAAAGGACATTTTCTAGCACTCAGTTGTGTTTTGCAAACTGGGAACCCAAAGGGCTAACTCAGGGCAGCAGGTAAACAGGAACTGAAATATTGAAATGCAAATTATTTAAAAAAAAAAAACCCTCTGAACTGTTAGGACAAATTTATGTCTTAGGGATTACTCCACTAATTTAATAGAAGTCAGTTTTTAAGACTTCTCTTTTTATAAGTCAATAAGGGTTCTTAATATTACTGGGGATAGTGGTGGCAGAAAAGGGAATGCACATTGGGAAAAAACCCAAACAAAAGAATTCCAAGTAACCTACTAATTTTTGACAAAAAAGGTTAACCAGTCAATGCATTTGCACAGTACTCTAAATTCAAAGCACTGTGAGCCTGCCATGGGGGAAATTCAGTGCCCAAGCTCATCTTCAAATTTTTGAGTACAGATCTCTCAACCAAGCAAGATGGAACTGATATTTGCAGGAGGAAGGGAGGATCAGAGCTTCTAATTTGCAAATACAAGTAATAATTTGTTCTATTTAAGTCTGTGTGATTAAAGGAACAATTATATACTGACACTTAAAATATCAAACTGTTTTCAGTTTCTGCAGAACTCAAAGTTCTAAAACTAGGTTTAAAAAGAAAACCAAAGTTTGACTAAATAAATTCCTCCTTCATAAGTTTTTTTTCCTCTGTAGGAGATAACTGAAATATTTTCACATTTAACTTAAGAATCAAATATTACCATGTTTGAATGGTAATTCCTGGTGATAAAAGAATGGCAAATAATACAGCTGCATTGATTCTTATCTTATTAAGTCAGTTTTGAAAAACATTGATCAATCTTCAGCATTGATTTTTTTCCTTCATTTTGTTTCTGATGCTGGAAAATAAGATCAATTTCTGAGTTCAGCAATAAGAGGAAAATGTCAGAAGATATTTTTAAGAATTCTTCATCCACATAGGTTAAACTTTTCCTTTTGATTCTAATGCCTTGTGTTATAAAAGGCATTTAAGTAGTAGTGGTTAAATATACACCCACTCGAACACTGTTTTCACTGAGGGAAGACCTAAAGACATAGTTGTTCTTTGTCGCATCTCCTAACTGAAATGAATAGAAGTCTGATTGCTGGGAACTCATATACCTAACCCCATTCAAGGTGGTAAGATGCTAAAATCCTTAGTCAAAAATTTTCAAGCTGAAAAGCACATGAACAGTATCAAGATAAAAGCTGATAGCTTCTCTGCGTATATAGATATCCCAGTACACAGAAAATTACTCCTCCAAGTGCTTTTCAGACCAACTTGAATAAATGTGCTGCAATAAATGTACACTCTAAAATAGACATCAAGCAAGTTATGAAAGAGAAGAGGGAATGAGGGTTGATCTTCAGTACTGCATTCTGAAGGGATCTGAAGGAGGGAAACTTGGAACTTGGCAGGCTGAAACTGTACATAGACGAGTTAACAAGATGCTGGGGAAGAATAAGGAATTAAAATTAAGCTTTAAAAAACAAGTGAAGAAAGAAATTGTAAGTAGATCTTGGAAACTGCTGAAGAACTAGGATATGTGAAAGGTAACAGGGAAGGAAAAAGAATGAGTTACCTGATTAGAGGGCAAAGCAACCTTATTCTGATCTTCAGGCTGCCCTGATAGTTTCTCTGGTATAATATAAGAAATCACTGATTTTTCTAAAAGGTATACTGTCACCTGTACTTGCTGCGAGATCTGGGAATACAGAGAAACAGGATTTCTTGAGATTTGGCCAACTGCTCTACAATACCTCCTCTGCTAGCTAGATCTTGTTTTCCATGATCTTTTGATAAAGCATCTTTTTTATAGCAGCTTTATTTCCTTGATTACTCCATAGATGGCAGCACACACTTGAAAGCAACAACAGCAGCAGAAAACTAAATACAGATGTCATAGTGTTACCCAGGGAAAAGGCAAAAACCACAGTTTGTTTTAGTACATAAACATCTGGGTGCAGAAAATTGTATATAGATAAAAGATTTGGGGAATGGGTGGAAATCAACACAATCACTAAAGACCGCAGAAGAGAGGAGTAGGAGAAAAGGAACAAGTATGAAACAAAGTCGAGAACATTTACGTTTAAAATCAAATATCAGTTGTTCCAGAAATATTTCTACTAATCATTAGTTGTGCAGAAGCTTGACTTAACAATAATAAAAGCTTTTAGGCTGAGATTCTGAGCAAGATAAATACAGCCAATTTTCTAAAAGGATGTGCTTAAGAAGAGCCATTTTATTATAACCCTAAAATATCATCAATTGTCTTTTCACACAAATACACATAGTGCCAAGTTGCGATTACATGAATGCTATTCAAAGAACATTTTCTGAGCAAATCAGGTTTTTTGTTGTTGCTGAAAACAAAAGTAGTTACAGTTCCAGCAAAAACTAGGAAGTTTAAAAGTTCTTGCCTGTCATATCAATGACTGCTTAAACGCATATAGAAAAAACAGCAAATTTATTATTCTTCAAAATAATATGGAAAACTATTGGACCCAATCTTGCCAATCCCTACTATCAAACGTTTTTAGTGTTCCTGCATTGAAATGGATAGACTTCAGTACATCAGCTCCTTTCAAGACAGAGCCTTACCAAGGCTATCCTTCAGGAGAAGCGCTTCAGAAAAAATGACTTTATAGTGAATAAATTCCCAGGCAGGAGAGAAAGAATATTATAATCATTATTAGATCCAATTAATGAACACATGTGCTTCAAACCAGTTTATGTCAAGGGTACAGAAGGAAGTT